CAATCAGCTTGGTCAATGCCGCTGTGCCATCTTGAGGGCTTCGTATGTCAATGGCCTTCATGGAGCTCTTTTTTCCTTGGTGCCGTCCCGTTTGAATTGCTCATTTCTTTGTTCAAACGTCGAACAAACTGGCGAGGTCTTGGACGTTTTGGATTTGCTCAAGAAACCTGGGCAAAAAACACTTCAGAAGGGGATTCACTCTATAGAATAATTTCAGAATAATTTCACTTGAAAGTTCGTGGGCAAATGAATGCACACCGGTACATCAAGGAAAACCACTTCTGCCACGTTGCTCTCGTCGGCTCAGACGGCCATGCGCCAAGAAAAGAATGCTGCCCGCACCGAGCCCGCAACCCCATCGCCGAGTCGTGGATTTGGCAAAAATGTTCAATGGAAAGGGCAAGAGCCGGAGAACTGCAGAAGAAGGCAACTTGGCAAAGCAGGGGTGGGGCATCAAACAAAATCTTTGGTTTGTATATATATATATATGTTAAAGAAACCAGTATCGCGAGGTTCACAAAGTGTTGCGCCTGCCACAACATGTACACGTTGTGCCGGCCAAAACAAATTATATTAATACACATTTCGAGGCCCAACACAGGTTGCACCTGCCACGAATTCTGCGCTTCGAGGTTGGCAAAATGTAGCGCCTGCCACGAAATCTACACCTTAAGGTTCAAAAAGCGTTGCGCCCTCAACGACCTCTGCACTTTGAGCTTCACAAAGCGCTGCCCTCACCACGAAATCTGCATCACAAGTTTCACAAAGCCCTCCGCCAGCCACGAAATCTGCATGTCGAGGTTCACAAATAATTGCTGCGCCTGCTATCTGCATCACGAGGTTCGCAAAAGCGCTCCACCTGCCACGGAATTTACCGGTCTAAGGCCCACAAATGCTGAACTTGCCACAAGATGCGCACCAAGGTTCACAAAGGGCTGCAAAATCCTGGTACCGCCAAGTTGCCAGCGCTGTGCGTGCCACGATCTGCACATCAAAGTGCAAAGGCGCCGACGGACTGCCACGAAAAGCCGACTTCACGCCACCAAAGCACAAGATTTCCTTGCGCCTGCTTTGGAATATGGACAGTATCGGTTTCAAAGGTATGAATCATATACCGCAACATACCGCAACTGTCACAGGAAAATAAGTATCTGTGACCAAAGGTTGGGTTGGCTCTTGGTCGTGGCTGGAGTGTGCAGCATGACGCACGCAGCTTTCCAACCTGCAATTGCACTCAAACCTGACCACTGCAAGCAGCAGTGTTCCCAGATAGGCGCTTGCAACAGTACAGGATCATTGAACCTGCCCCAATGGAAGCAGCACAGCTTCTTTTGGAGCGTGAACTGCAGGCGCAACAGCACAGGACCCATTGAAATCGGGCTCAGACTTAGTTCTAGCTGAACTGTTTGTGCTTAAGGAACCTTTCTTCTTGGGCACAAGTTTCCCAGGAACATGAAAGCATGAGTAGAAAGGGGAAGGGGTGGAGAAGTTGATGCTGCACTGCATGATGCTGCTTCCTGCTCCAAAATATGCCGCCAGGAGGCTGACAAAGGGTATCTTCCAGGTTGGATCTCGAACTCCGCCCTCCCTGCTCTAGTTGGACCTGCCCCTTCACGCTTTAAGTCTTACCCTTGGGTGGCCCATAAATGGTGTGCTCCTTGGACTTGCTCCTTCGTGCGACCCAAACCAGGATATGGCACCTTCCTGCTTCAAATTCCACCCTGGGCCAGGGACCAAGGGACGAACCGAGGTGACCAAGCGACCAGGGGACTAGCGGAAGAGAGGACAAGGGACCAGGTGAGCAAGGGAACAAGGCACCAGGGGAAACAATTATATGTTTGATACGAATCCAGGTTTCTTGACAGAAATCACTGTTTCTTTTGGATGCAAATCATTTTGGAGTGATACGTATCCCGCAAAGCAGCAGGTTTCGCTGTGCCAAGACTGAGATCCTGCACACGACACAACAATCAACAAAAGCCAGGAGCTCACGCTGACCGGGCTGAAACAGAATAGGGAGACCCCCAGCTCGATCCCTTCAAACAATCACATCGTTTCTGCAGGGTCTCATAGGGTCTCCCTATTGAAATAGATGTCCACATCCCAAAATCCTTGGCATTGCCAGAGTGCCCTGGGATGGAAACCATAACGCATGCAAACATCAGCCGAGAAAATGAAGATTCAGCTGAACATGTTCGCAGTTGCCTCCGGCAGCAAACTACAAAGGGTGGTGGTGTCAGTGTGCATATATATATATATATAATATTGGCGGTAGGATATATTGGCGGTAGGTTATAGCGTTAACTAATATATGATTATGTAACATTGATATCTGTTGATCAAATATATATATATAGCCCCATCAATCAAATGGATATGGATGTGGTTGACGATTTGTCCTATTACAAAGCATTAGTAATCATTAATCATTACAATTATGCATCTAAGGGTTCGATCTAATGTCTCCACTGGGGTCTGCCTAAGTGAAATGTATTGTGACGAGGCGGCGGCGTTCTGCGATACATAGCCTCATACACCCCTGAAGCTCCGCAAACCCGATGGAAATAGAGTGCTGAGATAACTTGAAGAAACTGACATCATGTTGACTGGTGATAGTCTTTGGTAAGTAACTCTCTACCATGGATGGTGAAACATCCCCATGTGGGTAGAATTAATTTCTGAAGGTTCTTTAATACTCAAGGGTCAACATGACTTCGGCCCTACTTGAAACCACTGAGGCCAGTCTGGCCTACACCGCAGCGACCGGACACAGCAGCGCGGCCTCGCCAGCCAGCGTCACCGGCTGCCGACACAGTGGGCAGCGTACGTGGCGGGAGCTGCTGGCGCTGACCGCCGCTGTTGCGCACTCGACATGCAGCGGATGGCCACAGCGCAAAGCGACGATCGAGGGATCAAGCACTTGCCTGAGGGGAATGATAGCAAGCCCCAAATCGGGACGAAAGCATGGCAGCTGCCTGCTACCATCCCCTGGCGCAACATATCCTTGATAGTGTCTATTTGGAAACACCTTTCCCGGCTTGAGGTCCATCCCTCAAACTACCGATCGGTAAGTCATCACCGCAGCTTTGGACCAGTCATCTTTCGGTAAGGACCTTGCCGACCTGCATTCATCGGGACTCCAAAAGGTAAGACCAAGAAAGAGAGGTTGAGAGACCGCCACCTGTACAACTTGTGGTACATAGGGCGTCCAAGCCCGTTCGGCGTCGTCCGGGTCTGGTCCGATCTTTGGAGGCGAATTGCAGTCTCAGTGGCCCGGAGGCGGAACATCAACCGTCCAGTCTCTGGTGCCTTCTTTTCATCCAAACAGTGGTGAGTACCGGTGGTCAGCTGGCTTTGTCGTTTCCGGGGAGCACGTGATTCCTAATGCAATCAAGGAAAGCGTTGGATTGTGTTGTGTTGGAAAACGACACCTTATCGTTTGGGCGCGCTTTGCAAAGGTCCCCAACCCAAAAATAAGCCTTCCTTACCGTACGGTTGCCCCATGTGCCGTACGCTTTCTGATTCACGGCGATGCTTGCATTGCTGGCCATCCATCTAACATTACCAGCCCCCCCCAGTCAATTAAAGGGGCAGCTTCCCGAGCGGCTGTTCAGTCAAGCATCAAGCCCTTGCAGGCTATCTCCACACTGGAACTCTCAGTGACTAAACGTGCGGCATCCTCGGAAAACTCGTCGAGGCAAACACTGCAAATTGCCCCGCTGTTCAGGAATATCACGTCCTCGGTAGCCGTTGACATTACATGATGTATACGGACAAAAGGGAGTATACAATAATATATGTATGATATATATATATATATATATACAAATACTATACTCTTGCAGGGAGGTGCTGCACAACTTGAAATAGGGAAACACACAATGACCACAGTATGCAATATTCATAAATAGGATTCAAGGGAAGGGTGTTTCGGGCATCACAGGTTGTGCATGGTGCATGGTTTCTTCCCGACCACAGTGCATCACCCTGGAACAACAACAAAACTCTCAAAACTCTGACTCTTGCCCGCACTTGCTCTCTCAACCCTAGCCTAAGCTGCCTCAGCCCAAAAGCCGCATCCCCTCTCTCCCCCACCAACAGAACGGACCATGCGACGGGCGTGGACGCCATCATCACCTCCAGGGCCTCCGATCGCCCAATCTCCGGCAGCTCTGCTGGCCGCGCCCCTCCGCAATCCGCGGCGCCCGGGCTGAACTCTGCACCGCGCGCGGGACCCGCGCGGGCGCGGATGCGGCGGGGTGGGGCGCAGGGCGGAGACGCCAGGGACTTGAAAAGCTGGGCATTCTCAATGCACCAAGGGATCAAGTACCTCAGAATTGTGCATATACCCTACCGGTCGTCGACCATTCTAAAAAAGGCTGTTGTCAGGCAGCCATTCTTATCTAACAACCGACATTTCTTCTGAGCTTTTCGAGAGCTTCTGGACTGCTAGGAAGCTCTTTTGCTCGAACATGGTTGACAATGACAAAAGAACTTACAAAAGATATGAATTTAAATCATATTTGGTACCATTGCATGTCCACAGGGCCACAGGGGCATCTGTTCCATTCTTTTCCCAAATCTACCACCTGCTTCGCCTCATTTGCCAATGTGGTGGCCTCATTGGCCCTATATGGAGTTGGTGGAGTTCATCACCATTGAGTTGGGGCCTCACTTGCAGATCTAAATGATTTGTTTCCGGAAAATCATGTTTATTGATTCCTCTCCAAGGCACAACGATGCCATCAACTGCAAAAAGAAACCGTTTGAAACGTGGGATCCTTGGATTACTTCCTCAGTGGATCTGCGTTGTACCATCCCTTTTGCCAAGGGGTCTATGAGGACCTTGAGTGTGCCCGGCTGAGTGGGCTTGATCCGATAGGCTGGAGAAGTTCGATTGGGGCTGATGTTTTGAATCTCTCTTTTTGGCAAAGACCCTAGGCCCCTGATCACTGGTACTACTATAGCATTTGTTCGCCCCTTTATCAAAAAGAGAGAGTTCAAAACCAAATGCGTGATATCAAATGATGCACCCGTGATCTCATGTTTAAACCTGTTAGCCCCTGGCTCCATCCGGCGCAGTGTGGTTCTTGCTTCTTTGCACTGGTGGCACCATGTCTTGCAGCTCTGAGCGGGTCAGCCTCCTGAAGGCCGGTAGGTGTCATCGGTGGGCATGAATGGAACATGTATTTTGTTTGGGACAATGGAGTGATGTGTGGGCCCACGGGCTGTCAGGAGTTTTACAGGGAGTGGGTTGAAGATGCTGAATTTCTCCGGCAGCGACGCAAGCTGCTGCGGCAAAGGAAAAAAATCAGTGAGGCTGATCCAACAGTGTCCTGTCTTCATGGGGTTTTGGAACCAAGGCAAGCAAGAATTCATGATGGCCTGTACATCCGTTGTTTTTAGTGCGGTGTTGATCGCCAAATAGATATTAATTAATGGGCCCAGTCTCTTCGATCAATCTCAGGTTCCTGGCTTCACCTTCATCATGCGCTACTCCAAGAAAGAAGGGATACAGGAAAACGAGGCGCAGCTATTGAGCTATATGGTATACACGCATGCATAAGCCATGTGCATATCCCCTTCGTGAGGTCGCCAACGGCCATGTCCCTTCTCTCTTCATCTCTCCTATTGTGTTTGCAGGTGCCATGTCCACATCCCCTTCATGAAGTTGTCAAGGACCATGTCCCTTCTCTCCTGCAGGTGGAGCAGGAAGACAACGCTTCCTTTTGCACAAGTTTCCTGGCCAGCTTTTGTCACAACTTGCCATCAGAGAGTGAAATGAAGGCCAGTTCAATTCGGTATTTGCTTTTTTACCATCCTTTACCAGTCATTCAAAGTCCCTGTGCCATGATGTGCATCTGACAGAATATATGACGTATATTTTATATTAAAAAAAATTGGTAAAGTTCACTTCCGCTCTGTGTTCAGGCAGCTCTTTGTTGGACAAGCGAGCATTTTGCCATCAACCAGTTTGAAAACCATGCAGCCCATGTGGCCACTTGGATAAAATACTTTAAAGATTGCATTCTGAAACCAGCATGCGGGCAATCAACTATATGCGTTTCCATCCTTCCAGGCATGGGCCTCGGTAGAGGCAGGAATCCAGAGGTCCTTCATGAGCTACTGCCTTCTACGGTTCCAAAAGAATCCACAAGCAAGGCAATTTCCTCAACATCTTTGAATGCTTGATGTCACAATCCAAAAGGTTGGATTGGTGCATCATGCATTGATTGGCCAGGTCATCGAAGTCCAAAATGGCCATCATCAAAGATGTCATTCGCAAGAAGTTGGAGGTGCAGTGTGCCAAAACCAGCGTATCAATCTAGACTCCATGATAGCACGCATGCCTGTATATTCCTGTAATGCACACCTGCCGTCAGATGGAGGGCATGCTCACCGACTGTGGTAAGAAGGTGGCCAGCCGGGGGCGATCAAAATCTAAGGCTAGGGTCATATTTCTTTCTGTCGAAGTCTGTTTTCAAGCAAGCAGGCCAGAGCACTGCAGCATGTTGTAGTTTCAAACCTTGGCAGGAGGCCTTCTATGTGCAGGAGGCCGATCTCAGCAACATCAGGGAGGAGGAGGAGGAGGAACACGAGGTGGAGGTCGTGGAGGTCGTGGAGACTGGTCTAGCGGAACCTGCAGGTTGGGGTGCAGCTTTTCACTGTTTTATGCCAAATTGTGCTCTGGGCAGGTGTGGCTGAAGTCCAAAGAGCAGATTCCATCAATCCTGACAACGTGGATACTTTGCCACTCCCAATGGAGACTGAAGAACCTGCAGGAGACCAAGGTGAGCACAAGGACATTGAAGACGAAGGTGAGGAGGAGAAGCCAATGGAGGTTGACGTGCATGTCGAACCCAACAGTGCACAGCTTGAGGTGATGGAGGTGCCAAGTGGCCAGAAGACAGAGAAGCCTGAAGAGCCTCATGAGGTCCAGGAGGGCGAGGCAGAAAAGCCTGAGGAGCCTCATGAGGTCCAGGAGGGCCAGCCAGAAAAGCCTGAGGAGCCTCACGCCGAGGAGAGCAAGATGGAGAAGGTTGATCACGTTGCTGGCCAAGCGGCTATTGACCAGGCTTTTTTGCATGACAGCCAAATGCCGGACGATCGTGACGATGATGAATCATATCAGACCCCGGATGAGGCTGGTTCTGATCCCACAACGTCGACTGCTACAGGTGGAGCAAGTGGAGGAAGTGGAAATGCATCTGGAGAAGCGGCGGCTGAGGCAAAGGAGGAGATTTGGGAAGACAGGCATTGCTCTGATGGCGAGGATGCGGATGGCACCAAGAAAGGAACTTTCAAGGACCGCAAGCCTTTGCGTGCAACAGCACCTTTGCACAATGACAAGGTGGTGGATAAGTGCATGCTGCTGATGAGGGAATTGCTGAAGACAAGAAACATCCCATGTTCTGAAGAAGACCTTCTAGAGGCAAGCCGGTCGTCAATTGTTGCCTTCTTCAGTTCTTCTATTGGATCTTGAGTTAAACATACCAGTGCAAGCATTGACTATTTGAATTCTTGGTCATGTCCAAGGCACTCCAACTCTGCATTGACTCTTGTTCCTGGCAGGCTCAACGCAAAATGAGGCAGGCTGCAAAGGAGATGGAGGGAGCAGACGAGGACCATGAGGACCCTGACAGAGCTCTCAGGGAGGAAGAAGATTCTGAAGAAGGTGCGAAGAAGGGCAGAGGCCGAGGGCGAGGACGAGGACGAGGGCAATCAAAGGGGAAAGGAAGAGGAAAAGCCAGGGGAAGATCTGCGCAAGAGAAGGCAGCCAAGACCCCACCAAAGGCAAGCAAGAGAAAGCGTGACAAGGAGGCTGAGGATGCAGAGGAGCCAAAGGAGGCAGAGGAGCCAAAGGAGCCTCATGAGCCAGAGGCACGTGAAGAGCCGCAGCCAAAGATCAGCAAGACCAAAGCGAAGCAACTCATAGCTTCGGCTGAGAAGTGGAGCCCCAAGAAGCGCCATGCTCCGAGCGGAGACGTTGAGGAGAGGCCATCGAAGCGGACCAAGCAGGCCTTGGAAATGGCAAGGGGTGCCAAGGCTGCGAAGGGAAAGCCTGCGGCCAAGCCAGTGGCCCGCAAGCTGACTCCAGCATTTGATGAGGCTGCTGACTCAGAGATCGATGGAGGGGCCAAAGCACTCAAAGGAAGAGAGGTAGCTGCGCCCAAGGCAAAGGCAGAGCCCAAAAGGAAGCATAACAGTGGTCCTGAGGCAATGGGGTATGGGGACAAGTCCATAGGGAAGTTCCTTGATACCCCCCACAAAAATCAGTCTTTCATCCAGCTGGTCCAGCACACCAAGAAGTGTGAGACATTTGGCTGAATCACAATCTCACAATTGTTTTATTCATCAGCTTGCTTAACTCTGGAGGTGGGCTTCAGCGAGATACAGGAGGTGGCACTTCGTGATCCCGTTTACTTCAAGCTTCCGAATGGTGCTGACGTTGAAGAGTTTCTTCTAGAAAAAAAGCCAGATGGCTCTGTCAGAAAGCTACTTTGCATATTATTTATTGTTTGAATTGTATAAAAAGTATAGTATGGATGTGCATTGATTGATATGCATGAATTGAATTAGATCACGTATATTGCTGCTGCATGGGAGATCAATCTGAGGTCCTTCACTCTCTACCTTCCCAAGGAGTGCTTGAAGAAGTACTGTCCGAAGGAGTTTGCGGCACCAATTGGGGTTTTGTGGCATCCTCAAATATATTTATTGGAATGAACATTGGGTGCTACACCCATCAAATTATATGCAATCTAATCTAAATCTAATCAAACAATTACAATAGTGCATGCAACCCGGCTTTGGCCAAGGATGTACACCCGATCCTACTATGTCAAGCCAGTGCCGGAAGAGCGATTGCACGCAGTGAACCAGGTTTTTGACCTGAAAGTTGCTGCAACTCGGCTCATATATGGTTCCCGGTGTTCCTGGATCCCATATCATGCACACAAACAAGTGTTATGTTCTTATGTTCCTACAAGTGCTGCGCGCCCGGAGGAGAATAGTCACAATGGAGTCTCCCTTGGGTGGACCAAGAATGGTGGTGCGTATGCAGCGTCCAAGACTTATTGCAAAGATCATGACTGTCCAACAATCAATGCAGTTCTTGGATCATGGACACGGTAATGGGGCAACGTGGGACCAATTCGTATTTCGAGTTGAGGTGGTGCCTGGCCAAGAAATTGGCTGGATGGGAGCCTGTGGAAGCCTGATATTGCCCGGGCCCGATGTTTTGAGGACCCGCGCAGGAGCCACGTCATAGACCTGCAATGGTGCTTCGATTGATACTAGATATATCTAGATACGTTCGAAACAAACGTGGACATCTTATATGCAATCTATCGTAGGCAGGCGTGGTGTACTGTGCGTGTGACATGTTTGCCAATTTGGCGGGGGTCTCACGTGTGCCATTTACACACGTGCTAATAGCAACAAGACTTAGGAGTGATGAAAAGAAAAACAATTATCAATTTGGCTTTTTGCATTCAGTGCACTGCACATTGCACATTGTGCTTGGACCTTGCAGTGCAAGTCATGAGCTGAATTGTTGGAACCCTCATGCATGTGTAGCCATTTTTGAGGGAAATTGAACTTCTCTATCAGTTGGGGTTTGGCTTCATTATGGCAAAATGCCCTATGAGCCTTACTTCAAACCAAGCACGCTTGTTCCTTCTACTTGGCGGTCCAATCTTGGCGTTCCTTGGTGTCAAAAAAAGACTACTAGATGATACTAGCACCATTTCTTGGGACCAACAGGTGCACTTTGTTTTGCACTTTGGTTGTTTGAGGCTGCATGTCATTGACTATATATCCCAAGTGGACCAAGCAGCTCGAGCGTGATACCTAGCATTTGGCATGGGCTGTCCTCATACCCAGCAACCCAAACTGTTGACTCTTACCTGCTTCCCTCAGGATATTGACCATCTTGATCTATTTGCTGGAAAATGCAGTGTGGCAAATGGATTTCGTCCCCTGGCGTCTTGTGGTTCGAGTTTGTGAACTCGTGCCAACTAGTTGGTAACTTACATTGGGTTTATTGTAAGGCTTCTATGAGGATGGATCCCTCAACGCCTGGAAAGTGTCTGGAACTTGAAAACCAAACCTTCTAGATCCTAGATCGGTCCATGTTCATTTGGGTTTCAGTTTCAGGGCTACCTTCGACAAGGAGATACAAGGAGTCCACGGGGACATCCTGACAATGTCCTGGCCTCAAACGTCTTAGAGCATGCGCACATACGAACATTGGAATTTTCATGGTTGCCATGGACACACTCAGGGAGGGCTTCATGAGGGCGGTGGCCCTAACACTTCGACTACGTCCTGGTTCCCTCATCCACGCTGGACCACCTTGCAGCAGTTTCGTGTTTATCAACTCCAATACTCATGGTCGAACCCGCACTTCTCCCTTCGGTCTTGCCAGCCTCCGCAAGTATGTAAGGGACGCGAACGTGTGCCTGGCCAGCAGGAATCATTGCTGTAAGGTCCCACCATTGATCGATGTCACTTGGACATGGACATGGACCATGGGTGATGGGCCCCCCAAATAATCTAAGGATCACCTCACGGATGGTCCTTTTACTATTGATTGGACTTTGCCGGGGAGTGTACTTTGCCATCGAACAGCCCTCCTCCAGTGCCATGGTTCACTTTCCCTATATCTGCTACTTGCAAAAGGTTGCGCAACGGATCTTCAGTTGGTCCAAGGTGTCATTGCTACTTGGCCAGGCAGGTGATCATCATGTGCAGTATATATGCAAAAATTATATGGATCCATGGATGTATACATCATTTTCCAGAGTGAGCATTTGCATCTGAGTTCCATGGGGTGCTATGGCCATGCAACTATCAAGCCTACCAAAGTATTTGGGGTGGCGCATCCTGGCCACATGATGTGGAAATGTTATTTATATATTTGCACATATCGAATCAATATGATCATGATACGATCACATACCTAAGGCCGTGGGTGTGGAAACTGAAGAAATCTATATCTAAAAGGGTGCGGCAACGTTCAAAGCGGAACCAAGCGCGAATGGTGGTGAAGGGAATCAACAAGCGTGGAAAAATCACAGTGCCCCTTGCCTACAGTTTTGATTGGTTGACCATCTCCACAATACCACAAAGTGCTTTAAAAAAAACTTTGGGGGTTAGAACATCAATCACCTGAGGTCCGGGAACTATGGGTTGCGCAACAGTGCTGTGTACCCTCCACACTATGGCCGGCGGGTTGCTGAATTGCACCACCAATTCACAGAACCTTGGGTAGAAATCTAGCCCTGGACTTTGCTACGTGCTAACTATTATTACATGGTCCTGTACTAGACTAGTGGCATCTACTGGCCTTGGAAAACCGCCCTGAGGCAGATACCCCCGCCAAGAAGACCCTGCTGGCCTGTGTCCAGGAGGCTGCGAAGGACCTGAGGCATGCAGGTGAGGATGCCATTCTGAAGGCTTGGGTTGACAATGAGCCTGGATCATCTCATGAGTGGTAGATGTGCCAAACATGCACATGCACCTGTATTGGGGTCCCATTGGGGTCATACGCTTGCAATGCTGACAGGCTCCCTACAACTGGAGGCATGCATCTTTGAAGGAAATTCAAGATTTCTTGGCTAGTGAAAAGGCTGCTGGAAGGTACAAACCGATTTTGTCAGTGGGCCTCAGCTAGATAGTAGTAGGTTGGAAATCCCTTATAAAATCTAGTCATGCAACACGGCAGGCCCACTGATTAATTTGGGTGCCTGTGTGCTAACACAGGGACCAGGCTGTGCATTGGAAAGCTCAGGACAGGACAAGGGGGTCATGATGTGATCCATGAGCTGCCCAGGCCTGACAGAACAGGACACAACCCCGTAGAAAACCCAAGGGTGCGTGAATGAGCGTGAATGGAGCGTGAACGGACATTCTTATCCATGAACCGACATTTTTATCCGTGAACGGACTTACCCCCAAAAACACCACTTTTTTGAAGTATTTGGAAATTTACCATACTTGTGGTGTTTTTTGGGAAAAACAAGTTGGAATTGTGATGTCTGTTCACGCTCCTGTCTATGCATCATACAGCACATGTTTTATGTGATTTGTCCAAGTTGTGTAGGTCTGGATCATGCATCATGATGTATATCACGTGCATGTTCGAAAGGATCAAGAGGTCGCAAAAGCTTTTTGGTGGAAGGGTTGTTGGTGCAACCATGGCGCGTGATGCTGTCCAACAAGCATTAGATAGGGCTCTAACGCGGGCTAAGAGGGTTGCTGCATTGGATGCTGCCCATGAACAACAAGTGGATCCTCCGGACGATGCACAAGTGGGTGGTCAGTCACTGGGGTTGAATTTAGTTGTGATAGGGGCCTGGGGTACGTTCATTGAATTAGTGACTGTTCTTAGCAGCATGTTTGCATCTATCTATATTGGATTTATCGCATGGCTTATACTGCGCTGCACTGCATGAGGCCATCTGCTTCCCGCAGTTCTGGCATTCGAAGATCAAAAGCATCTGAAAAGCTCAATCGAGGACTTCTTTATTGTGGGATCGGGTCGATGGATGTTGCGTGTAGAAACCATTGATAGAAAACCAACAATGCCTTACTTGTGTGCACATGCCCATCGATATTGTTATTATTGTTTCCAAGAGATATCCACCAAGCCCTTTTAATTGCCCTTGATTCCCTTGATGGGTTGCCCTGCATCCCTTCCGCCAGGAAACAGTGACGCTACAACAGTTCCAGCATCTACTCTTGAAGCATTGCGCAATGCCCGGGCTGGATCCAGGATCGCAGCTCTACAGCATGAGAAGCAATTGGAAACACCTCCTCCAGGCAATGGCAAGAAAGCTGCTGAGAATGAGACCTCGGCCCCGAAGCTACGCAGGGAGGTGCAAAGCAAGCAGATCTTGGATGATGGCGGGAAGCCCAAAGGGAAGAGTGCACCTGAGCCTAAAAGAAAGGCTACAGCTAAAGCTACAGGCAAAGCCAAGGCATCGCCTGTGGCCAGATCTCAAGGGAAGGGAGAAGAGTCAAAGAAGAAGCATGAGGGTGTAATGCCGAAAGTGGAGACCACTCCACATGGAAAACCAAAGGATCAGTCAGCGCTGGCAACAGCAGTGCATGAGAGCCTCAAGCGAGGTGAGACAGCAGATGTGGAAGACACTTCAAGTGGGAAGCGGAAAGGTACCAGTGGTCCTACCAAGAAGGATGAGCTCAAGAAAAAGAATGACAGTAAGGATGACAAGAAGGTTGACAAGAACAGTGACAAGAAGAGCGCACATGAAGATGAAGATGAAAAGGATGATCCACAGGCTGATGAGGAAGAAGCAGAAAAAGTCCGGGCAAAGAAAGCTCATCATGCACGATTCATGCGGTTCAAGAGATCACTTGAAAGCCACTTGGTCCCAATATGCCCAAATGTGTGTGAAGATGTGCATGTGTATTGTGAGTTCATCAGCGTCTCTTTTGATCCTATTAGTACAACATGACCAAGCTTGTGTGGCTTTCTTGGCCGGCGCTCGCTCAGACAAGATGACTCCGAAATGCATCAGAGATGCTGGCATGCGAGCCTACCGGTGCAACTTGTCATGATTAGCTGACCAAATGCACAGGCATGCAGCATGCTTGCATCTTTAGTTCAACTCATACATGATAAATGGTGACAAGTGGTCAGCCCAGGCAGCCCTCGCTTGCAAATCTTGATGGAGCAGTGGATTGGATGCCAAGGTCACTGGAAGTCCTCAGAGGTATATTTGAAGATGTCATCACGTTCACGGCACCTTTGCCGTGGATCACGGCAGTGGCTGACCTTTGAGCAAATCGCTGAAAAGTATGCCTCTAAGGATGTGGCCCGTCAAATCTGTGACACCAAGGAGGCGTTGGAGGAGTCAGAACGGGCACTTCAGGTTAGAGATCATCCCGATGCCCCAGTGCCTTAATTCAAATTAAATTAGAATGATGCACATGCATGTGTGGATCAATAAAATTATAAAGGCTGACCTGTGAATTATCTGTGCATGCGCATTAAAACAATTATGTGTGGATCTTATTTTGATTGTCCATCTAAGGGCGTGAAGCAGTATCTGGTTTGGACGGAGGACTCCCAAACCGATGAACAGGATGAAGTCCTTGAAGATCTGTTTCAGGGAATTGATGGGGACGATGAAGATGCTGGGAGGGGACGTGGTCGTTCTCGAGATCGTTCTCGTCGTTCTCGTTCTCGAGATCGTTCTCGAGCCCGGAAGTCATCGAAGAACAAGAAGAATGATGGCAAAGCCAAA